TTTCCAGAATATTTGAATCAAAACTGCAGCCACTAAAGTGTAAACAAGCTTTTTCTATTTTTAGCTCCTGTGACCTAGCTTTTGACCTGAGATGACCAATCTTCAAATTTGACCTAGAAATTATCAAAACAACCTTCCTGACAAGTTTCCAGAATATCTGAATCAATACTGCAGCCACTAGAGTGTTAACAAGCTTTTTCTATTTTTAGCTCCTGTGACCTAGTTTTTGACCGGAAATAACCCATCTTAGAACTTGACCTAGAAATCATCAAAACAACCTTCCTGACAAATTTCAAGAATATTTGGATGAAAACTGTAATTTTTTATTTTAACTATAAATACCTATTTCTTAGGTGAAAAAGAGATTCTATAATGTCTGGTATAACTATTTAACGGAAAAGTTATCACAAATGTTCAATCTTATCTAGATGATAAGGATTGATACCCCATATTCTTGTTTTCGTAGTGGATTGAAAATGAGGCACGTTAACCTCTAGGGAACATCAATTTATCTATTCAATAATTTTTAACTCTAAAGTTGAAATCGTAGGAAAATTATTTCCTGTAATACATGTTATATGTATTTAGTGAAAAAGTATTTCAAGATATTGTATCTACTCTAAATTGTTGAATCTGATGTTCCATTTTCTTCTTTAAGTGCCGAAAAACCGAAAAAACCTAAGTCGAAAAATTTAATATAAATGACTGTATTTGTGAAAAAGTTCACTACTAAAATCAAAATTGTATATATTTTCTGTATATATTGGTACATACCAATATGATCTGAAATATTGTGTATGTTTAACCAAATATTAAAATTAAGTCGAAAAAACTGCGAAAGATATCTTTGTTCAGGTTTTCATGCCGAACATGGGTTATGTAAGCTGTTCACTGATTGGTCGAGAACCATTGTCTCTCATGTCGCCATTGGTACATTTACTATCCGATTTTGACTTCAAGCTTAGAGCATTAACCTATGACCCCCTCAGGAATGTGGTGTAAACAAACCATGTATATTATTTTATGCTGTTCACTGTAGAGCATTTAGATCTTACCTGCAGCCATTAGAGTGTTAACAAGCTTTTTCTATTTTTAGCTCCTGTGACCTAGTTTTTTGACCTGACATGACCCATCTTCCAACTTGACCTAGAGATCATAAAAACAACCTTCCTGACAAATTTCCAGAATATTTGGATGAAAACTGCAGCCACTAGAGTGTTACCAAGCTTTTTCTATTTATAGCTCCTGTGACCTAGCTTTTAACCGGAGATAACCCATCTTCGAACTTGACCTAGATATTATCTAAGCAACCTTCCTGACAAATTTCCAGAATATTTGGATCAAAACTGCAGCCCCTAGAGTGTTAACAAGCTTGATCTATTTTTAGCTCCTGTGACCTAGTTTTTGACCGGAGATGACCCATCTTCAAACTTGACCTAGATATCATCAAAACAACCTTCCTGACAAATTTCCAAAATATTTGGATGAAAACTGAGCCACTAGAGTGTTAACAAGCTTTTTCTATTTTTAGCTCCTGTGACCTAGTTTTTGACCGGACATGACCCATCTTCAAACTTGACCTAGATATCATCTTAACAACCTTCCTAACAAATTTCCAGAATAGTTTGATGAAAACTGCAGCCACTAGAGTGTTAACAAGCTTTATCTATTTTTAGGTCCTGTGACCTAGTTTTTGACCGGAGATGACCCATCTTCGAACTTGACCTAGATATCATCTAAACAACCTTCCTTATAAATTTCCAAAATATTTGGATGAAAACTGCAGCCACTAGAGTGTTAACAAGCTTTTTCTATTTTTAGCTCCTGTGACCTAGTTTTTGACCGGAGATGACCCATCTTTGAACTTGACCTAGAAATCATCAAAACAACCTTCCTGACAAATTTCCAGAATATTTGGATGAAAACTGCAGCCACTAGAGTGTTAACAAGCTTTTTCTATTTTTAGCTCCTGTGACCTAGTTTTTGACCGGAGATGACCCATCTTCCAACTTGACCTAGATATCATCAAAACAACCTTCCTGACAAATTTCCAAAATATTTGGATGAAAACTGCAGCCACTAGAGTGTTAACAAGCTTTTTCTATTTTTAGCTCCTGTGACCTAGTTTTTGACCGGACATGACCCATCTTCAAACTTGACATAGATATCATCTTAACAACCTCCCAAACAAATTTCCAGAATAGTTTGATGAAAACTGCAGCCACTAGAGTGTTAACAAGCTTTATCTATTTTTAGCTCCTGTGACCTAGTTTTTGACCGGAGATGACCCATCTTCGAACTTGACCTAGATATTATCAAAACAACCTTTCTGACAAATTTCCAAAATATTTGGATGAAAACTGCAGCCACTAGAGTGTTATACAAGCTTTTTCTATTTTTAGCTCCTGTGACCTAGTTTTTGACCGGACATGATCCATCTTCAAACTCGACCTAGATATCATCTAAACAACCTTCCTTATAAATTTCCGGAATATTTGGATGAAAACTGCAGCCACTAGAGTGTTAACAAGCTTTTTCTATTTTTAACTCCTGTGACCTAGTTTTTGACCGGAGATGACCCATCTTTGAACTTGACCTAGAAATCATCAAAACAACTTTCCTGACAAATTTCCAGAATATTTGGATGAAAACTGCAGCCACTAGAGTGTTAACAAGCTTTTTCTATTTTTAGCTCCTGTGACCTAGTTTTTGACCGGAGATGACCCATCTTCGAACTTTACCTAGATATCATTAAAACAATCTTCCTGACAAATTTCCAGAATATTTGGATGAAAACTGCAGCCTCTAGAGTGTTAACAAGCTTTTTCTATTTTTAGCTCCTGTGACCTTGTTTTTGACCCGAGATAACCCATCTTCGAACTCGATCTGTATTTCATTGAGACAAACATTCTGACAAAGTTTGATGATGATCCAATCAAAACTGTGACTGCTAGACTGTTAACATCCCAATTGTTGACGATGCACGACGCACGACGACGGACGCCGGACATAGCCCCATCACTAAAAAATGGGTCTATATCGATTAAACAGTAAATTTGTAAAAAAAAAGTTTCCATAAACTTTATGTATATATAATTGCCACATAATTAGAGAAGAAGCAAAATATATTACATAATTGAAATAATTAGGGCTTCCATAAGTGAAAGTTTGGGAGTCATTTACTTTTGATTTTGTTATGTGACTTCCAAAAATATAACCCTTTTCCTTCTTTATCTATATAATGTGTTTTAGAATGTCAAACATTTAAAGGTCTCTGACTTCCAAATTTTGGAACTTACTGGAAGTCCTGAATAATTGAATTTAATTGCTTGGCACAAAAGCAAATATATTTGTAATACTTGTATTTATACAAACAGCATATAGTATTAACAAACCTTCAAAATTTTAGAAAACACTTGACTGAGAATACAACGAAAATCATATATGGATTTTAAAACAAAGATTGCCTTAATGTGGTTCTACTCAGGTTCGCTTAAGTGTCTGCAATAATGCACAGACATACATCTAGCTAGTCTTACTCTACCAAAACAGCTAGAATTTTCATACCGCTTAATTAATACAGCTTAATGAAATGTGCAGATGCACATAAACTATTAGTTGAAGTAACTTCTTAAAAAGAAATGAAAATTAACCTACCTTTCATTTGATCTTGTCAGAAGATCCTGTAAACTTGAGGTGAAACAATATATGTCCATACATATGCTTTTTCCCAATAAAACAATTCTTTTTTACACAAATAAACCGAAATATTTATGTAAATTTCATCTGAATAGGGAACCAATCTGGTTTACTTCCAGGTTCTATTTTGTTGGATGACCAACTTTGTTTTTTGTTTCAATCCTTGATGGCGACAAGCCATTGTTTCCTTTACACTCATTTCTTAGTACTGGTTGGTTCCAGGAACAGATTCAAGAGCGTTTCAAAAAGTTTATAGCTATTAATACAATCAAACTAAGATAAATTTGTAGAAACTTTATATGAGATTAATAAAACCATGCTACTGACAAATAAAATTTCTTACATTGTTTCAATAAAAAATTGTCCAATGTGCAGCTTAAAACAGCCGTTTTCAGGGAACTGATTTAATATGTTGTTACAACTTAAATGAGACCTACAAAAAGAACATTGTGCTCCATCATAAATATTCTCATACAGTTCTTTATGAATTAGAAGACATGTACAGTAATGGGTTCAGTCCCATTAAAATTCAATGCAGGTTAACCCATTACTGCACTAAGGTGACAAAATAATACCATAATATTATATAGTACATGCAAAGTTTTAAGTTACAGTACATGTATATCTTCAGTGGTGGGGGTGCAATATGATACAGTAAAAAAATCTACAGCAAGCACATACAAACATATTCAACAACTGCAGTAATTATCTTAAAAAATTAGTTTGGGTCAATTCTATGAACACGCCACTTCAGAGGAAGTTTTTTGGACAAGGATCAAACACATCTGTAAAATAATCAGCATCATCAATTGTATTCTATAAAAGATAGTGTCTATGTGGTGGTGACCAAAAATCGTGTTTTGTACATTTTTACTATTATAACAAAATTCCAAATCACTGTTACTGTGCCAATTGCCAAAATTCAACAGATAAAAAAGACAGTTCGGGTAATTGGCCGCAATAAGTGACTTTTTGGAAACTATGAAAGTAAACCAAAAATATAAAAAAGCTTTTGAGAAATAAAAAGTAAAGCATTTCGGAGGCATAATGGGCCTGTAATCACTACTTAGCAATTTATAAGAGTAGGTTGCACAATGGATTGTCTTAATTCTGGATGGCCCCAAACTATTCTTGGAATAGTTAAACTTAAAAATCAAAACCAATCATAATGAAAAAAGTTCGACCTTAGAAAAATTCAAGTAGGTATCTTTTGTAAACTTTGACTCAATCACTAGCTACATGTACTATGTAAGTTACCAGATGAAAACAACAACAAATTTATACAAGCGAAAAACACTCACAAATGGTGTACCACCAACATTCTCTACTTCTATAGCCTGATCATCATATTGTATGCTTGGTCTTCTCTGTAGTGGAGGAAGTGTTTTTGGTGCCACCTTTGCCGCCATTATGTCACACTGGTTCTTTTTCTCACCAATTCATGGAAATTTTCTTAACATCTGAAACAATAAAAATTCATGTGAAGTACATTTTCTCTAGTGTTGAAAATAAAAGCAACAAGAACTGTCAGTCTTCATTCACACTGGTACATTACTATAATATAGATTACTGGAAAAATCATCTAAGAGACACATTCCTCATGTATTTAAATGTGTAACTGGGGGGCAACAAAGAATGATCTGATCATGCCTGTAAATAATTGTTTCTAGATTTAACTTTTTTATTCTGCAATATGACACAAGAAAAACAGCTTTTAAATAGACCACAAATATATCATCATCAGTGGTCCTAGCTTTTTCATGTTTTAGATTCAAACTACTTAACAATATCGCTCTAGATATTCCGGTCTATATAGGGCAAAGTGTAAGATTCTTTTAATCTTAACCTATTATGGCTGAGCAGGAACAGGGTAACACTATATGCCCCAGCCATTTTATGGCGGGGGCATAATAAAAAAAAACATATATAAATGGGTGACATTGAATTGTGCAACACTGTCCATTTAGCACAGGCCTTATCAGTATAGAACTGATGTTGAAACCAATATTCCCGAATAAGGTACTAGCAATCACCACACAGCATTATGCAGTATGTCGCTCTCATACCCACAGAAACGTGTTATGAACAGAAAATTCATCCAAGGGGGATTTTGACCTAGGTAGCTATTTTATTGAGATGATTTTGTCCACTTCAAAATTTCACACATGAAGGGGATAATGTCCACCCATGGAGGGGGACGTTATGTCCAAATATACTAAAAATACATGAAGGGAATTTTGTCCGAAGGGGATTTTGTCTGGCATTCATATATGATCAGTACATGTGGTGGGACTGACAAATATATATTTTGTTTGCATTTTAAAGGCGTTTTGAGCTCCACACCCCAAGTGTCTGTGACATTTTTTGAAACATTTTAGATGGTTTACTACCAGCTTAATGAATCCATTTATTGTTTTAAACTTTAGATTTTAAACTGACAATCTTATAACACCATCGTTATATAATATTTCAAGACTGGTTTACAGTAACTGACTGATAGATTTCAAGATTTGAGGAGTAAGTCGAGTCGTGTACAGCCTACAGGTGAAATTACCTGCGCTTGATATTTGTAACAAATAATATGAAAAGTGAAATTTACTCTGATAAAATGCTGTGAAGATACATTATCATATATTCCTGGTCATTTCTCCATCCATCACAAAGTTATATCTGAATCTAGAGCGGTAATTTCAGCGCGATTCACAAACAGAAACTAACTGGAAATTTATAACCAATTAATTAATTCCATTTCCGGTTGTAAATACGTGGTCGCTTTGGCGACATGACATATACACTGCTTTTTTTAATTGATCGAAGGACTAACAAAATATACGGAATGTTGATTTAAAATGTTAAAATGTAGTATAATGACATGCAATTTAATGACAATACAACAAAAGATTTTCGTAAACAATGGCCAGACTTGTTTAATACTTAAAATACTACATGCAGTGTATAGCTCTATGTCAAGGGCCATACTTTTAAATAAAAGACATTACGAAATACCGCAGTGGCGTAACTACCGATACGCCAATACGCACGGGCGTATAAAAAGGAAAAGTTTCGAAAAAAAAAATCAAAAATGAAATCATTAATTTGGGCGTAGATCAACATATTCGTAGCTGCTAATTGATTCTACAGGTATGCTTAGGATGTTACCTTATTCGAATATGCGTTACCTTTTTATGTACAATCAAAAATTCAATTATGAAGAAAGGGGGTGAAAATATGATATTAACAATTTCTTTGGAATTTTCTCTTTTTTCAGCTTGAGTTAAGCGTTATAATGCTAAATAAACCTCGTCAAAATCCAAATAAGGATAAGAATATGTCCAATATATTACAATCATTTTTTTCAGATGAATCGAATCAGTGGAAAGTAAACATTTATTTCATTTTTTACATTTAGATCTATATGAAAAATTAAGATCTTGTTTGCAATTTGGCGTTTGCAGCACAATGGAAGGGAGTGAGTAAGCTGTATGGAATGTCTTTTTATATTTTACCTTGTAACTATAAATCAGTATATTATTTTTAAGTTAGTAATATTCATTCAACTTATATTCATTTCAAATGATGTATAATAGTTTTGACACTGTGAATCAGACCTTTGCAGTGAACAATTGACAACATCCCTCGTCACAAATCAAATTAAACTTTTGCTTATTTGACCGTAAAAAAGATTACCAGTATTTACAAAATATATCACTACAGAAATTTGTTTCTACTGTATTATTATATTGAATAAAGAAATTGCACACTTTTTACAACAATGACGTATATATATAACCATATAAGACACATCATGTCTAAATTATTTTATTTTCGCCGACTTTAGATAACAAATTGGCCAGTCTGTTTATACCAACATGCTTTAAGTAAGTAAGTAAATTCTTTATTATAGTGACATGCGTTATACGTATATACATACACATAAATACACAAAGATGAACACCCGGCCCATAGGACCTATAAGTCACCTTAACAAAAGATCATTATCTGAGCATGCTTTATGTGCTTGAGGCATTTAACTTCGTAATGAAATAACTTAAATATTTCAAATGCAAATTGAAAGACTAGAGTTGAGAACAAAAATGTAAAAGACAATATTTATTGTCTACAACATTGACATAATACGCATTTAAAATGTTTTAAAGAGAAGCTAATTGATCGTGCGATACTATATTTTAGCTGTGAATACGATAAAATCTCGTTACACTAAACATTTAAGCTGTAGTGTTTGTATTAAAGTCATACGGGTCATTTTAAAGCTTTTATCTCACGTTAAGTTATGGTGAAACAAAAGAAAAATAACAAAGAAAAAACTTAACTTGTTACAAAAGGATATAAAACCCATCTTGTTTACAAGAGGGATACCTGACTATGTTTTGTTTTTCTTAAACAAATAACTTTGATATATTTAAAACAGTGTACACGTTAGATTTCGTGCTATTTCTCTTACATTCAATATAATCATTGATGTACTTGATGTTATTTTCATAACTATAGATAAAGACAATAGTAGTACAATTAGCTTAAATATCCCATAAATCCTTAGTTATAGCACATAGCTATATTTGATATATAAGATCCTCTCTGGCAAAAAAAACCGGCACTCGACGTACACTCATAATAAGCCGAGGTACGCCCCTGTAAGGTATAATCCATCAAGGGGGAGGAACTGTTACACAAGGGATGGAGTTATAATGATAACTTGTCAGGAGTTTTTGTGATAACTGTAACGGAGTTCGTCGGAAAACTTTTGTATATACTACAAAAACACTCGTCAAAAATGATAATTTTCATCTTTAAAGTTAATTTTTGGTGCTTAATTAAACTTTAATGATTAAGCTTGCCGTACATCTATGTTAGATCAATTATGTGTCAAAAACTAATTCATACGCCATTTTTCATATCCTCTTGCTTAAAATCTGGTATTTTTTAGTAAAATTTTCACATTATTTGTCATCGCACGTAAATTAGTTGCTTATTTCTGGTCATTATTATTGCCATACATAATTACCTAATTATAATGCAAAATTGCAAAACATAAAAACCCCGGCTAACAAATTTAAACCCGATTTTTCAAATGCACTGGAGTTCTTGTGATAACTCTGAAGATGTCCTAGAGTTCTTATGATAACTTTTGTTATTGCCAGTGTGTTTCTTGCGTTAAATCAAGGCACATCATGAAATGTATACGCTCACGCTCATCCATTTGCACAAAAATGAGGATCTTTAATACTGGTTTTGAGTGTGTTTTAGTTCAAGAGATATTATTTCAATGTTTCATTTTATAGTATATTTGCTGCTGGAAAAGGGATTGATGTAGAGCATTGACTTATGTGATAAATTTGTTAGCCGAAGCTTTATGTTTGCAATTTTGTATTATAATTACATGTAAGTAATTGTGTATGGCAAGGATGAAGACCAGAAATAAACAGGACAATACGTGCGAAAATTTAGAAATTTTACCAAAACTACCAGATTTGAATCAAGGGGCGACGAAAAATGGCATATGAATTAGTTTTTGACACATAATACGAGATGTAAGGCAAGCTTAATCATTAAAATTAATTGAGCACCTAAAACTCACCTTTTAAAGATGAAAATTATCATTTTTGACTAGTGTCATTGTACTATATACAAATGTTTTCCGAAGAACTCCTTGACAGTTATCACAAGAACACCTGACAAGTTATCATAAAAACTCCATTTCTCATGTACCAGTTCCTCCCCCGTATCCATACACTTACAAAATACGTGTTAATTACAGTCGTAAAATTATTACACCTGAAGCATGTTGTAATGCGCACACCTGACAAATAAAAAGGATAAATGTCACTGCTTAATATTTTTGACACTGAGACTATACTCGAAACAGTTTTTAGTTAAAACAAATCTAATTTTATGAAATTTGATTGGTGAAAAACCTTTTTATGTAAAATAAAACATTTTTATCAAATTGGAGTTATGCACTTTACTATCCCTGAGAAAATAAATAGATACGGTAAAACAGTAGCCAGGTTGGACTGCGATAATGACTTTGGTAAATGATTTACAAAAATTTTAGAATTCACCATGAAACAAAAACAAAACAAAAAACTTTGATTCCCCACCCCCAACTTTTCGTGCACAATGACAGCACCGGAAATCGCACAGAAATGGGATAAAGGTGTGCGTTGAGCTGGCGTGATTTCCAAAAAGTCATAAATGTTCAATTGCTTGAGCCATCTTTGACTTCTGTTGCTTTTTTGCATTCGGTAAAGTAAAATTCATTTTGTGTTTTGGTACGGAAGTCAAGGTAACACCTATTTTCACTTTGTTACTTTTAGGACAAACAATTTTATACTCAACGGTTCTTTCGACAAACAGAAAAAAATATGTGATAACTTTGGATGAACAGAATATAGTAAAAATTGTAACAGTATTTCTTAATACTTTCGATGTCGGCGCGCTAAGGAATATTTAGGACAAATGTTATTACGGTATTACCACTCGCGTTTGATTGGGATATCTTCAGAATAACATACAAGTCTGCCTCAAATATAAAAGGCCTGTTCAATTTTTTAATATAAATTGAACATTATGTAACTCCTTTGAAATTTATCAGTTTGAAAGGGTGAATAAAAGTCAAGGATTTGTAGGTTCTGTATCTCTTTTATTTTCTGTTGACACAGCATGTATCTTAGACAAGACTAGTTCAATACAATCAATCATCTAAGTAACCACACTCTGAAAATACATAATTAACACATTCTAAATATATATTACATTTAACATTCTTGAACTGCATAAATCAATCAATCACAATCAATTGCATAAATCAATCAATCATGTTCAATTGCATAAATCAATCAATCATATTCAATTGCATAAATCAATCAATCATATTCATTCCAGTGGCTTTTAATTAACATCAAACATTTTATCATACAATATCATAAAACACTTGTACATTTACAGCAATATATCACACTTACCAGTTTATGGAACTAAGTGTTTACATCAACACAAATACAATATACACTCTTCTCTCTCTCTCCAGTGTGCTGTTACTATCCTGCAAATTATAGTAAACAGTGTGCATAGAGTTTGAATAGAATGTGAGATTATTTATTTATTCATTAGTTGAGAAAAGAAAGATATGATACTGCAATATTTAACCAGTCCTTGGGAGTCCAAAAATAAGACACAGCAACCATTTAAATTACTTATCAAATTCACTATCATAATTCAATTAAAAACAACATTTAGTAAACAATACTTAATGCTTTGGAAATCATCAAAAGCAGTTTAAACTTTACATACCTTATATATATACTGATATTCCATAAATCACAAAAATTTAAAAACCATGAGGACAATGTACATGTCTCTTCCTCGAAAACGTGAGCTCAACTGAACACAATAGTCACATGATCAAACTGGCGGGAAATCATAACCACCGACCCATAGAATAACACTGGTCCAAGGGAAACAACTCTCTTAATGACATATAATAAAGACTGACAGATTGTGTCCCTGTTACACACTTCCCTGCTATGGAAAATGACGTCCCGTCATTATCAAATCATACCAATAAATAATCAGGATAACAACTACCCAGAACAAAACTACACCAATAGAACACTCCATCTCGAAACCATTAAACAAACAAACTCAACCCTTAATTAAGAGTCAATACATATCATTTCAGTGTTAATGTTGACATTATTTATAATTCAGCATTGACAATTATCTTTATAATTATCAACATTGAATAAATGATGTTTATATAGTATAATATTTGCTTTT